TGATCCTCCAGATTTTTAAACTAAGGACAGATTGCTGTGCGAGTCAACATGGTCCAAGCGCACTGATTTTTTTTCTTTTTTTCCCCACAGGCTATTGCCTCCTTTGTCATCCCATTCACTTTATTTCCCTCTCCACTGCCTCTTCGCCATTGCAAGACACGCCCATGGCTATCATTTGTCCACTGCTTTGTTACTCAAATAGTGATTTTTCTGCTTGATAATTGATGTGCTTTGCCTTTACCTGCTACGTTGTCCACCCCAGGCCAGAGGGAAAACATAAAAACATCAAAGGCTCTAGAATGAAGAGTGATTGCCACACGGCGCTGCCCCCATTCTTGCTTGTACTGCATAAACTGTTAAAAGCTAATGGCTTGAAAAAATAACAGAAACAGTTATTGACCCATTAAAAATGCGTTTTTGACATGGCTAGAAACTGCAGCCTCAAAGCATTTATCCAATTGTTCTCTGTAATTAATGAATACATGCTGATTGGTTAGAGGGCATTTTTGACTTGGAGGAACTGTTTAAACATCTCTGGTTACATTTAATGTAAAACAGCTGAAAACAGTGAACACTGCCCCACAAAAACTCAATTAAAACTTTGTTATCTAGAATCTTCTTTAGATACCAGAATCCTGAGTCTTACATTTACACCATCTAATAGTAGTTGTCAGCATTTCTATTAAAACGACTGCAGTCATTCTATAAACTTAACTGAGCAGAAATTGCAGAAATATCCAACTCAGACACTCTGGCATTGAACATTATGCACACTACGAACACCGTCAAGTGAAAACTCTGTTCTTTTCTGAAAAGTCATGCTTGGGAAAGTGTTTTGTGTGTCCATTTATGGGCTTGTGATAAAGGTCAACACTTTTTGTGAGTCTTTGTAGCTCTGCAGCACTATTTGTATCTCTGTCTCTCTTTCTGTGTCACTCTTGTGAAGCAGAACAGCTGTTAGGGACAATATTAGACCATGAACACGGTTATTCTGCTGTCAGTTTTCCAGAATGCTGGTGATGGTTGCCTGACTTCCTGACGGACAGGAAGCAGCATGTGAGGCTGGGAAAGAATGTCTCGGACTCCCGGACCATCAGCACCGGCTCCCCTCAGGGCTGTGTTCTTTCTCCTCTGCTCTTCTCCCTGTACACCAACTGCTGCACCTCCACCCACCAGTCTGTCAAGCTAATCAAGTTTGCAGATGACACCACCGTTATTGGGCTCATCTCGGACGGGGATGAGTCTGCCTACAGGAGGGAGGTTGAACGTCTGGTGTCCTGGTGCAGCCACAACAACCTGGTGCTGAATGCCCAGAAGACAGTGGAGATTATTGTGGACTTCAGGAAGCACACAGCCCCACTCCCCCCCATCATCCTGACTGACACCCCCATCACCTCTGTGGACTCATTCCGCTTCCTGGGTACCACCATCACCCAGGACCTGAAGTGGGAGCCCACCATCACCTCCGTCATCAAGAAAGCCCAGCAGAGGATGTACTTCCTGAGGCAGCTGAAGAAATTCAACCTGCCAACACGGACGATGATGCAGTTCTACACTGCAATCATCGAGTCCATCCTCACCTCCTCCATCACCGTGTGGTACGCTGGAGCCACTATCAGGGACAAACAGAGACTGCAGCATGTTGTGCGCTCTGCTGAGAAGGTGATTGGCTGCAGACTCCCATCTCTGCAGGACCTGTACACCTCCAGGACACTGCGGCGTGCAGCCCGGATCTCAGCTGACCCTTCTCACCCTGGACACAGTCTGTTTGACCTGCTCCCCTCAGGCAGGAGGCTCCGGTCCATTCGCACCAGAACCTCTCGCCATAAGAACAGTTTCTTCCCCTCTGCTGTTGGACACATGAACAATAACCATATGACTGTCCCCGCCACTAACACATGACCCTACGCTGTGTCACTGCATCATTTCATGTTTGGCACTGATCACCACCTGCACTCATGTATATATCTTTCTACATAGCACTTTTAATTCTTATTCTTACTTTTATTTTTTTTTCATGTCTATTTAAGTGCTATTTATGACACTATGTTTGCACTGAAGCACCGCAGCAATTTCCTAATGTTGTAAACCTCAACATCTGGCAATAAAACCCTTTCTGATTCTGATTCTGATTCTGATTCTCAAATGCTAAAGATCGCATGATGTCTGTAAACACTAATAGCAGACATGCTATTCGACTATAATATAATATAATGCTATAATGTTGAATGGCTCACACAGCCCAGGCCCATCAGGGCACGGCCACTGGGCCTTTGGGGATGTCAGGGTGGGTGTCTGATACCAGACACTGGCAACAATCCTTCCCTCTCCACCCGGTGGTGAAGTAGATCCGCTGTATCCTGTTGAATAATCCACAATCTTCCGCTTCCACAAAGTCAAATTGTGATTGCAGGATAAACAGGGTATTCCAGACAAAAGTTTTTCTCTGGGTCTACCCTGGGAAGACCTACCAAAGGAGGTGCTGAGGAGGTATCCTGACCAGATGCCAAATCTGGGTTTCTGTGTCACTGTAATCCTGGGAGCTGTGCTGTCTTGGGCAGTAGATAACATATCTATTTACATGGAAAACTTCACCAGAATGCAGTGGATCTGATGATTTGTTTTTGAGTGTAGCAGGGTTGCAATTGCTTACCGACTGCGGTGGTTTGGGAATGTCTTTGCCATTTGGAGGAATGAGCTTAATCTGAATTAATCTAGATGGGTAGATGGGTGTTACAGGAGAATATGGCATCAGTTTTGGCATGTCAGGACACAATTTTCTCAGCAGAGCAATGTATTGTATTGACATGCACAAAACTATTTACTTTCCCTGTCAGTGGTTTTAATGTTGTTCCGATTCAATTCAATTTTATTTCTACAGCGCCAAATCACATCAACAGTCACCTCAAGGTGCTTTATATTGTAAGGTAGACCCTACAATAATCCATACAGAGAAAAACCCAACAATCATATGACCCCCTATGAGCAAGCACTTTGGCAACAGTGGGAAGGAAAAACTCCCTTTTAACAGGAAGAAACCGACAGAACCAGGCTCAGGGAGGGGCGGGGCCTAAAGACATGCTGTTTACGGACTGAGATGCCTCTTTATTTGTTTAGTGTTTTTGAACTATGATGGGTTTAGAAAAATATAAATGGACTGGTAATTATAGAGTGCTTTCCTACTCAGGTGATGAGTCAAAGGGCTTTTTGAGTTGTCAGCGTAAAATAACCATTGCTGTAGTTTTCCCTCACCACCATATTAGCTTAAAACATTATACAGAGCAATTTAATGTCTGACTGACACAAACTGTAAGGGAAGAGTCAAAAGTGATATAATGGCACAAATGGTTACAAAAACAGTTTGAAGATGATCGACATCTAAACGCTTGTTAACTCTCAACCTTACGATCTGAACAAATACAACCAGTTAATTTGAGCAGAAACTCACAGGCAGGTAATTATATCTTAGTGGGAGACTAAACACGTAATTAAGTTCCATCTTAAGACTGCAAAGGAATCTTCCGATGGGTCATTACACTCAATCCTACAGTTTCTGACAATAGACATAAATGTGCAATATGTAGTGTTTCAGTGTAAAGTCAGATGAGTTTTCTTGTAATGAAACTGTTCAGCAGATAAAATGTCTTTGTGTTATCTTACAGTGTGTAGACATTCTGAGCTGCTTGGTAACTGCTACTCTTTGTAATCCAGCTGCTTTTGTCCCAGCGGGAGCGAATGCAGCAATCACACACCAAATGAAGCTAGCATTGTCTCACCTTCAACCCAAGACACATCTTCTTGAGTCTATAGCCATTTTCACACTGCAGTCGTGACATTAGACATTACCCAGTGAGGACAAATATTCAACACAGTTAAATCTGAAATGTAATGGTCTTCATGATCTCCAATACTGTCTGACGGTTAATTGTGCCAATTTCGCCAGGTTAGTGAATTCACAGTGAGTCAGCGTGCTCTGCATCCTCTGCCTAAACTGAGTAGTTACATCAGTGCGAATACACGTGACAAAGACTAACTCCTATTGCATACTCAACAACTTCGGACAACGTTACAACCAAAGCTTGAGCTGAATTTTTCACTGGTGACAGACTTTGTTACTTGATGGGAAATGATGGAAAACTCTAAAGGCTTCCAAACATTGTGGCAGATTAAAACTGTGAGGGTGGTAGAGGGTGTAGAGCAGAACAAAGGGTTCATCCAGCAGGAGAACACTTAAGAAAGATCCCAGTTCACATCTGCTGAGTTCACATTTCCCTGTTGAGGCTCCACAGCTGCAGCGCCTTAACTGGGACTGCACTGTTATGATGGAGTTTGCATACAAAGTGATGACACAGTTGGTGCCTCTGGCTATCTTTTCTCTTCATGCATAGAATATTCTGTATATTGTTAATTATATATGAATTTTCTGTAACCCTGTCTCTCAAAATGACAGACAGCCTGCATTTTGAACCAGTTTCTCCCAAAGTGTCCAACATTTTCATGTGAAAACAGTTTATGTTCATCTATTCTCATGTAAATCTTAGTCACTTCTCAAAGCTGCTTCATAATGGCTTTTAAACATACTCCACCCAAATATTCACTGCGATCTTTAACCTGTTTCGCTTCTGGCTCGTCTCATATGGCCACTTGGTCAAAATCCCCCAGCACGACATTTGTATGCACTGTTTCAAAGTGAACGGTGAATATTGTGAATAGTGAGTGAAACTAACCGTAACACTAACCCAGCAGTTAAAAGCTCCTCGTTGACAGTCTTGTGATTTACGACACTGTTTCATGCTTTCAGGATTGCATCTAATGCTGCGGCTCTCTTAGATACAGCAGAGGACACTTTGTGTGTATCCCCGAGACTCCGGAAGCTTTAACAAAACTACTGCGTTTGAAGTCCCGTCAATGACTTTAAGCCTTATGATGCCGTAAAGCTTTTGTTATTTTCACAGTATCACACAGTGATGGCAAATAAAAACATTTCTATCTTGTGACAGGTGGCCGAATTCCCAGAGGAGCAGCTCCTGGTAGCGGTGTTCCCCGGAGTGCCAACAGCTGCTGAGCTCTTCCTGTTGCCTTATAAGAACCAATCAGAGGGCAAGAAAAAGAGTGAGGAAGCTCTGGAGCGGGTATGGGTGTCTCTAAGTGAAATTCACGAGGAGTTCAAATTCCTCCAACTTGATTATTGTGCCTACAAAACGGTGACTTGTTGTGTACTTTAACAGGCTTCTGACACAATTGTAAGTGCACTGAACCAAAACCTGGTGGAGTTCGAGCTGAAGCCCGGTGTGAGGGTGATCGTTTACAACACACAGTTAACACTGGGTAAGAAACATTTGCTGTCATTGCTTTTAATTTTGCCATCAAGTCATCATCTATAATATTAACTTCTGGGGGTAATGTAATTATGGCCTGCATGTTCCATTTTTCATTTTCATGTGCAGAGAAACAGAAGTGTAATAACTATGTTTTGACAACAAGAATTTTTCTTTGGTCCACCAATTAAAATTCCTGTCAGACCTCGTCTATCCCAGGCGAAAGAACACAGACGAGGATAGGAGGGGTTCGGTTTTAAGTGGAGCTCCTTGAGAAGAGGGATCTTTTATGCCTGCCATCAAAAGCTGAACATCTGTTCTATTTCTTTTACAGCCATCCAACCACAAAATGAGTGTTACACTGAGTATAATTATGTTGATTATTTAGTCCTTGAGAAAGAACACTGTACAATTTCAGGGCAGACTTTGGAATCATTCAAGAAGTCATCAGCAGTGTTTTGCGGGAAGGCTGATTGACATTAGAGACCCTCAAATGCTCTCGTGTCAAATCAGCGCTGATTCACGGAGACACAGTAATTGTAAATAACATGGCTAGACTGGAAACCTCTACTTTTTTATTGGTTTGGAGCTCGGTACTGCTCAGCAGCTCCTGTGTCCCGCTGCTGGACAGGTCTTACCTTATATTCACTGCTTGGCTGGTTTCATTAGGTGCACAGTCTCTGGAGGCACACAGCCATGAGTTGTCTGCAGCTCAAAGCGATGGGTATTAACAGCCTGGCATGTAGTGCTCTGTGACGTTTTGTGGTGTGCTGCACTCTAATGACATTGAAGGTGTACCCAGCTGGATCCCTCTTTATATTTCACCTCCCAAGAAAAGGTCTAAAAAGCCTTCAAGCTGCTTGAGAAAGGTCATCGGCACGCGCGCCTCCATCTCTTAGCTGAGGGCTCACGTAGCGCTAAACCCGTCACAGAAAAGCATCGGGCTTTTTCTTCAGCGACAGACATTAATGCACTCTTCAAAATAATGGGAGAAATTTAGGGTTTGTGCCTTATGAGCGAAACCGTGACATTAATCACACTGAACACTTGTTTGGTTCGGTACTTTTTTGAATGAATGTTGGCGCATTTAACTGTTTTACATTCACCTGAAATCTTTGGATTTCCTGCTACTGTCAGTTTGTTTTGCCCATCAGCAGAAAGTGTAATTTCACGCTACAACACCTTACAGTGTTTCATATCTTAAAGATAAAAATATAATCTGGGGAGTCATTATTGTTCTGGATATACAGTATACTACAGTGTACGGGGTACAAGTATAAAGAAAATACGATTTTGACCCTTTAACATCTAACAGGTCACAGGCAACACGCAGAGCATCTGTCCTTTTTATAGAATTTACACATATTTGGAACATCTGACGCAAAGGTTTCTATCAGAAATGATGTTGTGGAAAAATGTGTTATTGTAAGGTAACATCTTCCAGGTCTGATATGTAGCCCAGCCCTAACCCCGGTGACCTGCAGGATTTTTAAAGGTTCGCTTCATTCAAACTAGAAGCAGAGAAAAAGATAAATCAATAATGGATGTGACTACTCTTTGCTTTTGAAGAGGTGCCTGTTTTCTTTGTTGCACATACTTTTTCAAGGTACTCTACCTGTAGGTGCTACCACAGTGCCAGGAGCTATTTCAGGTGTATCTGTTGTCAGAAGTGAGTCTCGTTCATTTTTTCCATTCTGACAAAACTTTGCATTGTTTCTCATGCAGAATGAAGTCACTGTAGTATTTTTGGAAACCCAGAAAATCTCGCTGTAACAGCCAACCAATAGCTAGAATCTAGCATTATATCCTCCCGAGAACCAGCCCATTCATTTATGTCCTCTGAAATGGACATTTGTTTTTGCTCTATATCTTTTGACTAAGTCCTGATGCACTGAATAGAGGAAATCCTGGACTTTCCATTGGTATCTCATGTGTCTGGGTGTTAGCAACAGGAAGAAGCAGGTTCAATGGGAAGATTATTTTCTTCCTCGGTTCTCAGGAAGATATACACACATTATAATACATTCCCCGGAGGTCCTGTGATCTTTCCTACTTTATGACTTCCATCCATTTCAGGAGTGAGTGAAACCTGCAGGCTTTAAAAGGCTTCCAGTTGCATAGAAGTGAGGATGCACATTTCTATAAAGACCAGTTCCTTGATTAAAGTCACAATAAGTACAACGTGGAATCCATTTTATTAATTATAGCTATTAATACTCGTACGCATAATTGTCTATTAATTACAGTCAATTATAATTGGAGAATAACCCAGGATATCCTCACTGGTCATCGGGCAATGAGTGAGCAGTATCTCCTGGAATTCGATCCACCTATATTGTTTCTGCCTCTGTATGTCAAAGTGGGCTTTTACAGCTTGAGCTGCCCACGGACTGCCATGATAAGTTTGCCGTCCACTCCTGATTGTCCCTGACATCAGGACAAGTCAGTCTCAGGGAGAATCTCAGCCGCTACTCTTTATGGCACAAAGTAAAATACTTTTTTTTCTACAACAGTTGAAATGTTTTTAACTCAGCTGGATGTGCAGTCACCTCAGTTTGTGGGGCCTTTGTAGGTAAACACACATTAGAGCTCCGATCAGCATGAAACTGTACCGGTTCCATCAAGTGTTTGTCAGTTATGGACTTGGATGAGAAATTTGAAGGTGCAGCCATAAGAACAGCACAAACTTAACTATAACTTCTGAGTATAAAATTCTAGGGTCTGAAGAAAACGAAGCACTTCTTCTTCCTGTCTTATTAAGATAATATGTAGTTGTGATGGGGAAAATAGCAGCAATAACAACATATAACAGCAAATAAAATGAATAACTCCACTTTCAACACCTCTGACGTAACCTCCCAGGTCAGAGATTTAGTTAGCCATCGTTAGCCAGAGCTCATGTGTACTGTATTCTTTTTAGCTGTTCCTCCATGGAGGAAAAATCGTTTAAAAAAAGTGAATTCTTGCTGATATGTTGACTGCCAGTTCCAATTATTTAAAGATCTTACACTTAGAGTTTAATAAAAAAAAAAATATTGCTAATACAGGAAATGAGGAAAACGCTTTTGACTGAGCTGAACTTTCAAACTTTGAAACCTCAGAAGTTCTTTACTTTTTCAAATCTGGCGTCTTTATGATGAAACTGCTCAAGATGTTGATAAACTGAGATCATTTATGCATTCATACAAACATTTGTTCTTGTTTTAGCATTAGCATTTAGCCACATCTGGTTGACTTGTAATATAAATCTAACTGTACTTTTGTCTGTTGTTGGTTTTAATGAATCAAATTTCTATTTTTATTTCTATTCTGTCTCATTTGTCAACTGTTGATTAACATTATGTTGTTTTTATTTTGACTGTCTAATGTCATCTCTGTGCACCTTCCTGCTCCCACAGCACCTTTAGTGGACTCGAGCCCCAGACACAGCAGCTCAGCGATGCTTATGCTCCTGTCAGTTGTGTTTCTTGGCCTCGCGGTGTTTCTCATCTACAAATTCAAGAGGTGCAAATCTTTCTGATTTCTTCCACCTGCTGTAGGGCCCCACTATATAACTATTACTCTGTTCTTCATTATTGATGATAGCAGATGAGCCCTGTCTAGACCAATCTATTATAGTCATATTTGGTATTTTCAATTGATAGATCACTCTGGAGTTGTCACTCATACTTGTGAGATTCCAGTGCATGAGGCGTGTGCAGCAATCAGTCACAAAATTCAGGGAAAACGAGCAGTAAATGGTTTAATATGCAGCTTCTCTGCCTTGGATCTTATTTGCTGAATAAATTATTCATACTCAAAATTATTCTTTTGAAAAGTCTGAGGGAAATGGAAAAGCTGTCATTAATTATGGATATGAAGTTTTTCCCATTAGTCTAAAGAGGATGCATTTTTCAAGAAATCTTACAGTTGACAAAACAGAGCAATTAATAACCCAAATGTATAGTAATTGCAAATAAATTGGATAATGTCTAAATAAAGATCTATATTAGGCGGTATAAATGCAGATGAGAAAAGAAACCAGTGTTACTGTAATTTGTCTATAAATTAGGCACTCGAGTGTAATTACAGTCAAGGCAAGTTTACAGTTTGTCAGCACCAAGAAACAGAATCATCTTTGAAAAAGTAGCTCAGTGCAACAGTCTGTCAGACTTCTTAAAAACCCACATTTTTAACTCGAAAGAAAAATAATTTTCATTTTTCTAAAAAATGTTGATCCTGCCAAAACATCACAGCTGGAAGCAGTGAGACAACAGAGCAGGCAATTCACATTTAGCACAGACGGTTCAAACTTATTCATCCCAAAGCTTACTCTGTGCAAAAGAGTCAATAAAGACAAACTGGATAATCAAACCAGTTATAATTATATTAAAGGTGTGCCCATTGATTCATATTATATAAGAAAAAACTACCTTTGAAGATGTCAGCTGTCAGTGAACTTCAAAGCTACAGGGAATGAAATAACCAGCAAAAATATATAGCATCGAAATATTGATTATTTAAAGGTTAACCAAAACTAGGACCAGAGTTGTTTTCTCCTTTGATCTGATGAATTCTGTAGTTACACATGTTATAGTTATGCTGACCTTTATTTGCCTCACCTGCTGAAGTTAACTGGCCTGAGAGAAAAAAGAAACCCTGCAAGGAAGCAAGTAATAAAGATCAGGACAAACTCGGTGAGAGCAGCTTGATGTGTAGAGGCTGATGAAGATAGTCAGGCAGGCAGAGATGGAGATGAGGCTGCAAAATCAAATAATTTATTCATAAAGTCGTGTTCTCGGTTGTAATTTACTAATGAATGTAAACTTGGGACTGCGGTTACATAGCCTTAGAAACACAACAACCCCACTGTGTGCATGCACAAACACCGCACCTGCACGTGAGATGGTTATCTAACATTTGTTGATCTTGTTTTCTGTAAATCCTCAGAAAAATACCTTGGATCAACATATATGCTGAGGTTAACCAGGAGAAAGAGCAAGAGATGATCGGCTCGGTCGGCCAAGGCGACAGCACGCCGAAAATTACTCTGAGTGAGTTCTCCACATCCAAAGAACTCATGGAGAAGGAGCTGGATGCCAGGGTCAAAAGTAAGTACCTGCTGAGAGTAGGGACAGGCGTTTCAAGCAAATACACTTCAATATTTTTTTGGGTTCTAGACGCGTTGCTGCCACCTTAAGTAGTAGTCATGGTGTTGGTGGGTTACTCTATTCACCTGCTGTAGAAATAAGAGAAAATCCATGAACAGGAAATGGCCACATAGATGATTTAACTAACTCACACTTTAAAGGCATGTAGATATCCAGAGACAAATAGAAGGCATCCATATACATATGAATGTATGCGATGCACTATATACTGCATAATCTCATCTGTGTGAATATCAGCACTATGTGTCTTTGCGACGAATCAAGTCATGATTAAGACATTTTCAAAAATATAATACATGGAGCACAATGAAATCTGGATCTCAGTGACCTTGTCGTGGTCCAGCAAGGTCTGTGTCACTGCTACATTGTATTTTAGGACATTTAAAACATGCACTGTCCACTGTTTGGAAACTCGGATATTCCCTATACCGAGGTTTCAGACATGCCAAAACATGCCAGGGCATGTAAAGATGGAATTTCAGGGACAAACTTTCTTTTGTCGATGGCTTTATAGCAAAAGTCAACATGATAATGTGTAGGATAACTGTGCGTAGAATCACCTCCTGGGGATAATTTACATACTGAATCTGAATCGTCTTTTAAACAGAAATCCAGCAAATGAATCTCCTTTTTACCATTTTTGAATTATTCACAGAGGAGGAAATCCTTAGAGTAGACAAAGCCCGTGAAAGGGTTTTAGAGGGTAAGGAAAGATTCCAGTGACACCCACAGTACTGGGAATAATGACTAAATAATAAAACCAACATGTTTAGCATGTGGCTGCAGGACTCCATCAAACACAGAGGGAGTGGCCTAATCATTCCTCATTCAGTCACAGTTTGACTTCAATTTAAAAAGAGACATTCATTCATTCATATTTCATTACATGATAAAAAAAACAATAGGTTTGATAAGCTAATTGCTGCCCACTCTGACTGTATATAACAGAGTGGATTTTCTATTGTTACCAGTAGAAATGTACCACTTCTGGCAGCTGCAGACCCAGGATTGATTTGGCTCTGAGATAGTTTAAAAGACAGATTAAGTTCCTGCACTTTCACAGTTCTGGAGAGCTGACTGCTTCTGACCTGTGTGTTGAAATTCAGAGGAGCTGTCGAGAATGGAAACTCACACATTAGTGAAACCCTCAAGCAGCGAGGCCGTGAGTGTGCTGCTTCATTTCAGCAGAATATTTTTATCCAGGTCAATGTCTGATTGTTACTTTTTTTTTCTTTTTACATGTGATCTGTATTCCTGCACGAGAGTACTTTCAGTTTCTCCATAACTCATGTAGCACCTCGAGTCAGTGGACGGGGACGCACAGTAAAGTGTAACAAAACAACAATAAGTGTAAGAATAAGAGTTAAACAACATATTTACGAAACACTAATCAAATTACTACCATCTGATTCCACGTTTGAAGCAACAATGGTACATTGTTGTTTTTCTCTTAAATTAAAGGTACCATGTGGCTGCCGATGGGCCTGATATCCACTTACAAGAACATTATACTGCCACTGTTTTATCGAAATTTAAAGCAGATGTCCTCCTATGTGGATCTCATTTCTCTCAGAAACGAAACTCAGGTAAAAAAGAAAAAAGAAAATCATGTAATTCTTTGTTTTTACATTCATCAGGTCCCAATCAGCCCAAATAGCAAAGAGAAATTAAAAATGCATGCATTCATGAAAGAGTTCGGGTCTTAGGAGGTCAAATTCGAGCAGGTGCTCAGCACTACATGCATTTAGTGCAACAGAAAGTGTATCAAATCATCCCTGCCTGCCATCACAGGACAAGGATATTTAACCTCCTAGGACCTGTCGTCCACATATGTGGACATCACATTTTGGGTTATTTAGACCAAAATACTCAATTTTGCTCTACATGGGCCTGATATCCACTTACGAGGACATTATACTGCCACTGTTCTATCAAAATTTTAAATGAATATCCTCATATATGGCTCTTAGTTTTCTTAAAAACAAAAATAAGGTTAAAAAAAATCTGGTAATTCTTTGTTTTTACATTCATCAGGCCCCAATATGCCCAAATATCAAAGAGAAATTAAAAATGCATGCCATGGAAGAGTTCGGGTCTTAGGAGGTTAACGAAATGTATTTCACAACGAATAAACGCTGCTTTTTATTTGCACATTTCTGCAGACGTCCTTGAAGTTGCTGATTGATTTGTGCTATATGCCAGAGTAAATTAACAGCTATTCTTGTGTTTCTCACGTAAATGGCCTGTATTGGCCTGTATTTGTATAGCGCTTTTACTAGTCCCTAAGGACCCCAAAGCACTTCACACATCCAGTCATCCACCCATTCACATTCACACACTGGTGATGGCAGCTATGCCACAGCCAGTGGCACCACCAGTAGGCAACAGGTGAAGTGTCTTGCCCAAGAACACAACAACCGAGACTGTTCAAGCCGGGGCTCGAACCGGCAACCTTCCAATTACAAGGCGAACTCCTAACTCTTGAGCCACGATCGCCCAACACAAATGGGGTAAACGTCCAGACTTTCGATATTTGGTTCTAAACTTCCTCACCGAGCATGTTCCAATTAATTGGACCAAACATATCATAACAAAAGCTGGCATATTTTTCATAATGGGTCAATTTCAAATTCCAACGCGTCTTAATAGCTTCAGAGCCTTTGAATGGAAATTAAGTACAAGGAGTCAATGTCAAAGAAGCTATTTGTTTTATAGTCATTAAAGCTCTGAATTAACTGTCTTTGTTCTTGGCTTTTTTTCCCCTCTTTCATTTCCTTTATTTATACTCAGGGGGAGTCGGAAATGCCTGCGAGAGCACAAGGGAGATTCCAAACTGTACTAGTGTGTAAAACTGGTGGAGCAGCGCTTCATGTACAGAGCAAAGTATTTCAGTGTCGGGGTTTTTTTTTGTTTTGTAATTCTCAACACAACTGATGTTAATAGTTTTCTAAGGGACCTCATTTATACAGACTTGCATGGATGTCTCATTCAACAACATCCATGCAGTTAATGTCAATTTACTCAATGAGATCATTGTAATTACTGACAAAACATATTCAGTTTTGTGGATGTATAAGCTACATAGCAGCATTCATTTGCAAAGTGAAATATCTTTCGTGGAAATCTATCAAAAGTTATGTACATTTCTTAAGGCGTTTGCTTTGAAAATCATTTCTGCCTATATATAGACTATAATGTCGGAGTCTTCAATCAAACAGGGAATATTATTGAAATGTACAATACTGTCATCTGTTCTGTTAAATGTATATATTATTACTTTCTACATGCTCGTAGTCTGAGTACCATGGCGGCAACAGAAGATCTGACGATGGTCTTTTTTTCTGAAAGTGTGTTTAAAAAGTCAAACATTACTTAAAGAAACCGATTTCCTTTGCTAAGGTCCTTAACTTGTGCATGTTCTTTCTGAGGACACAATTTCTGTGTTGTAGATAAGCAGGTGTTGTAAATAGTTATTTTCTAATCATGTGTCAAAAGACCCCAATTGATTCTGCTGATTCTGTTTTGCTCTCATTTTCTTCAGTCAAGTGTTGGCTGAAATGAACCTGATAGAAAGGATTTATCTGTTAATGCAGGTAGAGCTGCATCGGCATAGTGCAGATGTCCCTCATGTTCTCTGAAAATAAAGTTAAAAGGATCATCCTCAACAGGATCATTTTCAGGATATTTGCATTTTCAGTACAGATATACAATAGACTGTCATTAAACTCTCTGAACCAAACATTTGCAACCAGAGCCCGACTCATTTGTTGGTCGGCCAATGCTGGCTATTTATCGATCTATCGATATTGGCATTTACAACAGCCGATAAATGAAGTTTAAAAGCTACGAAACAAGAGAAACATCCTTCAGACGTGCTGTTGTTATGACGTTTGTCCACCAGAGGGCACTCTGCAGGTTCCCTGCTGGGAACCACAAACGCAATAACCAGCTGGTCCGAGCAAAGTCGGGCAGAGTGTGAGCTCGTAAATAACTACAAATGTCAGGGAAATCTGTATATCCCATGTTTGAATCACCAAACATCTGTAGCAGTATTGGCCTTAAACGTCCCATTACAGTCCGGTTCTATTTGCAAGTGAGTCTGTGGCTCTCACTGTTCAGATTTGGCTTCGATACTAATGTTGAATCACTTTGGAAAAAAATGTATCTATTGTGGTGACCAGTGATCAAATTCACAATTTCAACTCATTGGGGAAAAACATGGTGTTTATTTTAAGTAGGCTTACAGTTGGGTTGTGGTTTCTGCTTCTTCTTTGGTTTGTGGCAGTTTCCAATGGAGCTCATGCCAATATTATTATTTGTAATGTCCTGCAATTCTTTTCAGTCATGGTGGTGCTGGCCGCTCATCTGGCCAATCCACCTCATTGGTCCAGATTCAACAGTAATAGGATGTATTGTTCTAAAACAGTTATGGTGCCTAGTGGGTAACTTCATACGACAAGTCCTTGATTTATCCACTAACACCACCGAGTGGTTGACATGGGTTTAAATCAGGACTGGTTATGATAAAATACTAGGAATGAATGGTGTTATACATTTCAAATTGTGTCTTCATTCTCTTCAAAGGACTGCTGTGTGAAGTCTTGTTTTTTTGTACCTTGCCAGAGCAGCATAATCAACATGGTGATGCCAACTAATGATGACAAAACATATATGGTGGTAATAAGTAGTTTAATTAAGTCAATGAAATTTTCTCTGCCTAGACTCTTCAGCCTGAACTACTTTTTAAGATTTCATTCTCAAAAACCAAGTCCATCTTCAGTCAGTAACAGTTCCACTACTGTAAGGCCAAAGTGAAGACGTTTGGGCTTTTTTGGACATGAGAACTTTGAGATACAGGAAACCTGTCTGTGCACATAACCAGACCAGAGTAAGACTGGTGAACTGGAAAATTTGCTTGTAAATTAAATTAGCCTTATAGCAATGAGTCGCATCGATGTTATTGAACTTGTTAAAAGAAAGTTCTGAACTGCAAATCTGATGCAGCACGATTGAAGTGAAAGAGTCCTACATTCATTTTAATCACAGTAACTCGATGCAGTCCAGGACACACCTGGGCCTCCAAGATGGTTTCAAGTAATGTGTACAATGTGAAAAGGTAAATCACTTATTAGCTCACAGTTTTTGGATTCCAATATCATGTTCTCCCATTATTTTCAGTTGTCATAGCTTCAACTTCACATATTTTTTTCCATGTATGCTATCAAACCCAACTTTAAGCCTACAAAGTGCTTTTGCTGTTCATTAGGATTAGATAAGCTAATGAGTCCATGTTCTACAGAGTGTGTTACCAGCATCTTTGGTGCTCATTGTGGCACAATTTTTACACCACTCAAAATGTGCAACTACTGCTATTCTAACAATGTGACAAAACCAGAACATTGTCTTCAACTGTGCCTGGAACAGTATGCATTTATTTAATGAATCCACAGTGTACAAACAGAGCTCCCCTGGCTGCCATTAGCCTCCATTCACAAACCAACGCTCCAGTCTCTGCTTTGCATCTAGTTTGAAATGAGTGAACACCGTCCTCCCAGCATGCAACTTCCCCCAGCTCTGCATTCTCCAGGCCTGCAAAAGCCAAGTGGCCTCGACTTGACTCCCGTTGCTCTCCCAGTATCCAGCATTGTTGATAATGAGAGAAAGCTGGACAGCTCAGGGGAGGGTGCCACATGCAGAGGTTTCCTGCAGTGCTCAGCTCAAGCAAACAGCAGTTCCAGGAGAAGCGAAAGGCTGCAAAAAGATATAGGCTGTCACATCACATATGCATTACCTGCAACAGAGTGCTCTCATCTCAAACCAAACAGCCAAGCCAAGCCTTGTTAATACAGACAGAACACACATTGAACAAAGATTGTTCTAGAGCTTTGTTGTATTCAACACATGCCATAAGCAAAGGATTGTTTGCTTGGCTAGATTTTGTTTGGGTAAAGGCTTTGATGGTGGCACTTTGTTCTGATTCTTATTAGAAAAGCAGAATTAGGGGGGACAGAAAAAGAAATCAAAAAGTTTCTCCATCCTTAACTACACATGGATATTGTCTTTGTTTTCTGTTGTTTTTCTCTCTCTTGGACCCTTTGAAATTGTGAAGAATGTACAATGAACATAGTACACTGGCTGTCCATAAAAGTTTGCAAAGAACAAATGCTTCAAAATGTGGTGCTTTATCTGCACCAGCACATTGGAAGTGCCACTAGTAAAAGAAAGGACTTTGATCACTGGAAACTTCTGTCTCATCTGATATCTTAAATGCCACATTATACCGTAAGCACCAGACAAATCCATACTTGAACCATAAAAGAGATCCTTTGCATTTGTGATTTTTCAGAAGGCAAAAGCATTGTAATGTTCTTCAGTGCACAAAAATCTACAATGCATGCATCATCAGTAATGTTCTGTTTCATCTTGATTTCGATATTTCTACGGTAAAGAAACTGTCATTTTGAAATTGTTTCAAATAAATGTATTTTTGTACATCAGTGCATTCATTCTCTGGATGATGAATTTCTTGTGAACCCAAGGGTGCAAAGAAAATGATGTTCGCTGAGCATTACACTGTTTGCCTGATGACTCAACCAACCTCCAGTGCAGAAGCACAAAGCGAGGTCGGAAAAGCACCAGCAGTGTTGTCGGCCTTGTGTCTGGCCTGCAACCGCGGTCAGTGTCACCAAACCGTCACGGCACGGTGTCAGCTCTCACAGTCTGTCCAACTAATGGAATAAACACACTGCTACAGTGAGGAAAAATGCACAGAGAGAACAGCTCGAGCACATTGTTTGCAGTAATAAAAAAGATGGATGCAATGAAAAACACTTTAAATGTAATCAGGTTTTACTGCATGCCTCTATTGCATATGTAGATGTGCAACAGTGGCTGAACAAACTCCAAAAAGCTAAGCCAGTGAGCCAAAGTAGAACTGCTGGAAGTCCAAATGTTTAACAGAACCCCTAAAACCTGAGAATCACGTTGATGAACTTCGTAAAATGCTTTGACAGATGAAATAGTGTGATGAATGTGCCATTAGATTCCAAAAGCAAAATATTTTTGGTTCATAGGGCTTCTTTTTTATTTACCCCTAACACGGGAAGTTCATTTTAATTCTGCATTGTCACTGACAATCAAAACAGGAAGTCACATGGCCCGTTTGCTACATGATTGGAAATAAAACAGAAACCAAACATAAGAAACTTGCAAAACATTTTATTGAACTTTTATTTTACCTTTGCTTATGTTCCCATCGTCCATTAAACCCCACCAGACCTTCTAACCATAGCTTTAGCTCTTACCGAGGTCTGGACCTGTATCAAGATAATGAAAATTGGCACAAATCAATATGTGACACTCTATATGGGAATTCTAAGGGAAGTCACAGCCCACACTACGGTGCCTCTCTGTGGGTTGTTTTTAGGTTTTTTAAAAACAACCCACAGAACCAAGCTCAGTTAAAATCCTGAGCCTGGTTCTGCTGGAGGTTTCTTCCTGTTAAAAGGGAGTTTTTCCTTCCCACTGTCGTCAAAGTGCTGCTCATAGGGGGTCATATGATTGTTGGGTTTTTCTCTGTATGGATTATTGTAGGGTCTACCTTACAATATAAAGCACCTTGAGGTGACTGTTGATGTGATTTGGTGCTGTAGAAATAAAATTGAATTGACATTTTTAAGGGGTTAGGTTAAAACATGACTCATTGAGTTGGGCACTAGTAGTGAATCAGAGGCACAACAGGGAAGAGCCACTGAAGAAGCACGTTTTTCCCTGCATGCTATTTAAATTTCAAGTGAAAGAATTATTTTTTTGTTATTTTGTTCTACACATTTCATTTTTATACACTTAACACACATATTGCATATTTCCACACAGTTGGTCCCACACAAAATAAAGCCCTTTACAGTTTTATGGGTTTTTTAGTGTAAATGGCTGTATTATAGGACCGTGTCTGCTGTAAAGTGTAGACTTTTCTGTTGGACATTGGAGCACAGATGCTACACCTTATGTTGCAGTAAGAGAAACATTTATGAGCCTCACTAATTTCTAAACCTGCTTATGTCAGACATTAAAACAAGAGTAATTACTACAGTGAGCTTTTCTTTCAAGCGATGCTTATTTAGTCCACAAAACCATTACAAGTTAATCAAAAATAATTATTTGAAATAACTAAAAAAAAAATACTTAAAAATATATTAAGTTTACAGAGTTTAATCTATTTAATTACAGTGAGCTTTTGGGTTTTCTGTGTGGAACTTCAGGTTCTGTTCCATAATTAAGAAATCCTCATTTAAAATTGCTTGAACATTTTTAAGGATTCAGAGAGTTAAAACTCCAGCCTTCCAACTTCCTTAACCAAATTTTGTGTTTCTGATTCACACATGGAAAGACTGCTGTGGAATAAATTTATCAGTTTATTCAATATTTTCTTTCCACTGGTGGTGATGTGAAAAACATAACTTTTTTCCTAATATAAATCTGAATCTTAAAATAAGAACAGAAACTTATTAATGGCCCTGACAGCTGCAGTAGCCAGATGGCCCCACTCCGTGCATTAGCAAAGGAAGGATGTGTTGCTTTTTGTTTGGTGATTATTAAAAGGTTCACAGCCCGAGCTGCCCAATAAATTATTTTTGTGCCACTACTCGTTTCCCTAATTCTCTGCAACAGAAAGCATGCTGGCCACATTAATGGGATCTATACAAGGTTAGAACAAACTAGAATTACATTTTAAATCCTAATAAAATGAATCCAGTCAGAGCAGATTTTAAATAGTGTTAAACTACATCTATTTCTAAGTGAGTAATGTTATATTTATGAATGAATCTAAGCTTGCTGCTGTGGTAATATAAAATTCTGTGAAAAAAAAAAAGACCACAGCTAAAGTTCTGGTGCCGTTTTATCATCAACACAAGAACAAGAGCTTTCTGGGACCAGTTTGTCCCACAAAGTTTTATCCTTCCAGAAATGAACTGTTCATCTATTTTTTATTTTCAAAGAAATGATGAATTAAAAACCTTCTTTAACTTAAAGAAGTTCAATAATTTTTCCCCCCTAACTTTCTTAAATTAATCTATTGGCGTCTCTTTCTAGTGCCGATTATGAACGCCTGCCTGTATTCAATCAGGATACAGTGTGGAAAGTTTATGGGTGGAAAGTCACACTGATCTTTATTGTAAAGTATGTTTATGAGGAGTAAGTTTTGAACACCATTTCTGCTGCTGATGATGACATTTTTATCAACAGATGATATTCTACAATCAATTATTGATGTCTGTATTAAGCTGCTGTGGTTTAAACTTTTAAAAAATGTAAATTTTAAAGATTTTGAGATATTAGCAACAATCAGAATGATCGAACATTAAATCATCATTTGTATTTTATGCCAGTTTAAACCTTTGAATTATAAGTTATTTATTTAAAAAAAGAAAAAAAAAACATATGTAATAAATGGTGTGAGGGACAGGCCATTGTTGGTGATTAATAGATCTTAATAATAATGGATTGCATTTATATAGCGCTTTTTCTAGGCACCCAAAGTGCTTTACAATTCCACTATTCATTCACTCTCACATTCACACACTGGTGCACAGTTGTAGCCACAGCTGCCCCGGGACAGACTGACAGAAGCGAGGCTGCCATATCGCACCATCGGCCCCTCTGGCCATCACCAGTGGGCGGTAGGTGAAGCGTGTTGCCCAAGGACACAACGACCAGGACAGACCGAGCTGGGGATCGAACCGGCAACCTTCCAGTAACAAAATGAGCTTCCCAACCCCCTGAACCACGGTAACCCCTGTCTTGGACATGTCAAAGATCTGCAACAAAACTGATTTGTTTTCATTATTGTTTTGTGTAGTGTCAGATAATCCCGCTCCATACCTTCATGGCCAAAAATACCTCATTCACTTTTATTAAAACCACTTTTTTCAATATCTCTGCTCTTGCAGTATAAAACTATGCATTCTGCAATGTCACCATTTTATTTTGAAGAAATGTAGCGATGTTTAAATTTTGTATTCCACCAGATTTTACCATTTGATTTGTTTGTATGTGTGTGCGAAATATTTTTTTAATCAAAATCTGATTCATCAGTGTGAAGATTTATTGTGCAAACCACAACATCTTTGAAAACTTCAACACAATAGAACATGTGAAATATTTACAAATTTGAAACTAATTCAAACAGTCATGCTTTAAATATGCACACCTTCTTACTTTGTCCTATAAATTTGAACATCCTACAAAATATATATTCTACATTACATTGTAGGAAACAGTTATACAGTACATGCTATAATGTGAGATTCCTGTTGTTCTACTACTTCATGTCATGTATTCATAGTTTCAGGTATAAAAACAGATCCTTTTAAAACAAAACTGGTGATTTTATTATATATATATATATATATATATATATATATATAACAAAAAAAAAAAACAAAAAACACCCAGCACGCCCCTGCGGGCGGTTTATCCTTCAAGCTCGGGTCCTCTACCAGAGGCCTGGGAGCTTGAGGGTCCTGCGCAGTATCTTAGCTGTTCCCAGGACTGCGCTCTTCTGGACAGAGATCTCCGATGTTGTTCCCGGGATCTGCTGGAGCCACTCGCCTAGCTTAGGAGTCACCGCACCTAGTGCTCCGATTACCACGGGGACCACCTTTACCTTCACCCTCCACATCCTCTCGAGCTCTTCTCTGAGCCCTTGGTATTTCTCCAGCTTCTCGTGTTCCTTCTTCCTGATATTGCTGTCATTGGGAACCGCTACATCGATCACTACGGCCGTCTTCTTCTGTTTGTCTACCACCACTATGTCCGGTTGGTTAGCCACCACCATTTTGCCCGTCTGTATCTGGAAGTCCCACAGGATCTTAGCTCGGTCATTCTCCACCACCCTTGGGGGCATCTCCCATTTTGACCTCGGGACTTCCAGGTTATACTCGGCACAGATGTTCCTGTATACTATGCCGGCCACTTGGTTATGGCGTTCCATGTATGCCTTGCCTGCTAGCATCTTGCACCCTGCTGTTATGTGCTGGATTGTCTCTGGGGCATCTTTACACAGCCTGCACCTGGGGTCTTGCCTGGTGTGATAGACCCTGGCGGAAGGGGCTACACGAATAGGATGAGGGACCTATGGATGGATGGATGGATGGATGGATAGATGGATAGATGGATAGATGGATAGATAGATCTATCTCGTCTCTCAGTTGTCATCAATGGCAAAAGCAGGACACATTTCCTTCACATTTCAGCACTGGTCAACGTAAGTATTAAAATGATGAGCAGAAATTTGTTCCTGGATGTTATGGTGACCTAAAAATGAGCTCAAAGAAAAGTGAGCTGGTGAGCAGCATGTGAACGGTTTGACAGAAAGTACCAAAAACTACTGAGTAAGTTACTGTTGTGCATTATTGTTACCACGTGAGCCAGTCTGAGTGTAAGAACTGTCAGATTTTACCTATTTAAAAACGCATCAT